TTCCAACACGCAGCAAATATCGATTCCTAAGGATTCCATTGTACGAGCCAGACAAGCTTGTTGACCTAGCTGCATCAAAGTCCTCACGTTGAAGGCCCTCAGATTCAGCAATTGACGAGGCCTTAGAATCTGCAATCCATTTCGTGGTAAATCACTTACAGTGCTGTTTGGCAATGACCTTTGGCGAGCGACATCCAAGTTACTTGAGGGACTATTACAGGTCGGTAGAAGGGGTAAAGGGGGATGGTTGGGAACGGAAGACAAATATTTGAACAAGGGTTGGGATATCTGAGCAATATATATATATATATATATATATATATATGATGAGTTGAAGTGTTAGGATAAGCTTTAATGAGTGACGATTCAGCTTTCCATTTGTACTGAGGTGACTAGTTAGGGGTACTTTCTAGAAGTCATTTCAACACCGTGGTGATTGGCTATTCTCTGCGCTAGTCACGTTCGCCACCAGAAGAACCTATGGCTGGAAAACTTAAAGGGTTGACAGTGTCTTGTACCTCTTGTTTAGGTAGGTACCTGAAAGTTATTTGCTGGTATCCCTCTTTTGTTGCAACATTGTAGTCTATTATGAAATCTTCGGCAAAATTCATTCGGAATAATTCCATTAAAAGGTCAAACAAGACCAATCACTCTACATTTTTGCGTTTTCAATCCCGTTTCGCCTGAATGGTTTTCTCTCCGATAGGGAGGCGTTACCAACTACTAGCTCTTAACAGTGGTGTTATCACAAAATGGGAGGGTGGAAGGTAAACATCCGGGGATAAATTCTCTTTTATTCAACGATCCCGAGGTTATCTAAAGGAGTTGAAACGTCCTAATTTCAAACCTCCAAAAAAGAGTTGGGCGATCTGGCTCCAGGACACCTTGGCAGTGATGCTCACGGTCTTGCTTGGGTAATAGGGCATATTGGGCACCCTGCATACAAACCGCGCTCAATTAGTGTATGATCCAATTGGCTAGATACTGCCTCCTCCAGTGGACTGCAGTTTTCGCGTATTATTTGGCGCATCGGGCTCTGGATAGACGGAGTCCGGATGTATAAATGCTAATCATTGGTGGTTGAAAGACAACGGAATCATTGAAGGCGCCAGCTGTGATACAGAAAAGAAGGCTATTTCTCGATGTTTCGTCGTTGTCAAACTTTTCATTGGAAACTCGTCGTTCCAGGCACTGGAGTTCAAAAGCTTCAAGCTTTGCATATCGCCGGTGTTTATTACTTGTTCCTCATGGGTGTATGGAGGAGTAGAACAGATGACAGCTCGAAGGACTCATCCTAGTGCGGAACCTTATCCCATTTCGGTTTCATAATGTCTTACGCGGTCGCCAAAAGGTTCTGTGCCACAGACTCGTACTGTGATTTTGTCTTTAACTTAACCGTTGGGTTGGATTACAAAACAAGATGTTTGCATGTTTGCTTTCTTCCTATAGGATCCTTTTCAATCGGGATGAGGTACTTCGAAGTGTTGTGCCCACGACAGGATTTTAGTTTCGACGAGTTAGTCCATGGTCGCATGGTTTTTCAAGGTCATAGATGCAGTTGGTTATTTATTGGATGATTTCGAGGCTATCTTTGAGAACGACGATACCGTCCACAAATTCCAGGCCCGCAGTCCATATTTCAAGGTTGAAATGTACTCTGTGTTATTCCTTAGCTGCGTTTCGCATTACTCGGGGGATTGCGTAATTGAAAAGCCCCTGGAGTTTAAGGTGCATTCTGTCTGTTACTAGCCGGAAGAGCGGCTCCTACTGAAGCATCCCACCCTTAAGAAAGCAAAAGCAACAGGACCTGGCGGGATTCCTCCATCTCTTTTCACGGTAAGGGGAGGGGGAAAACTTCTTGGATTCCAATACTGATTTAGAGCGTATTCCGCCATTCGGGAACTAATCACTCGTCGTCCAAATTTGTGAGAAGGGATCTTGCAACGACTGCGCAAGCCACCGTGGAATAAGTTTGATCCCAATCGTCTTTAAAGTATTAGCTTCCGTCGGACTTCGGTGTCTGGCACCGTTTAGGCAGATATCCGTGAACAACCAGCAGGATTTGGATCAGGTCGCGGTTGTGTAGACCAAATCTTCACGCTGCGTCANCGACTCAGTTGGCCGCGATGCTCCTATAGGTTCGCTCCTTCGCAAAGGAATGTCGCAATAGTATGTAAACATAATGAGGTCACTCTACTCGCATGCTTCGGGTAGCGTAAGGGTCTACGGCGAGCATTTGACAGACTAGCAAATCCTGTCGCTTCGTTCGGCATGCGATTTGCACGTTCAAAGTATAAAGTGATGCTGCAAGACCGGATGTGGCTCAGTTTCGTTCTNTCTGTAATCAGATGGTCAGGAATTGGCTGAAGTTGATTGCTCCTACCTGGGTGGCTGCGTGACTAATGACGGTAACGCATCGAAGGAGATAACCGCCCACATTTCGAAGGCTCGAGCAGCGTCTACAGGACTAAATCACCTGTTGCGGCGACGTGACGTTTCACTTAAGTTGAAAAGTCGCGTATAATGCGCCACTGTATGATCACTTCTGCTTTACGGTTGTGGTATCTTGAATTTGCAGTTAGAAGACATCCATCGTATGTTTTTCGACAATCAGGTAGTTCGACCCAAGTGGGATGGAGTGAGCGGGTTAGTGACCTAGAAGTAAGTCGTCAGGTGTTTGGAAATGCATCGAACACGAAATTACTAGCGCTTCGAATTCAACTCACACGTTGACACGTTTACTCACGAAGTCGCACGAACGCCACTGTTTACGACAGCCATATCACTTAATTTCTCCAACCATCAGCTACCATCTCGAGGTCCCCAGCCATGGAGCCTAACGGGACCTACGTGACCCAGCCCCCTGGTCAGGGTTTTCATACCCTCATGCCAGGTTTTAGTTTGATCACTCGACCTTTTTCCATCCACTGCCTGCCTTGGCGAACATCCCGCGCCGTGGCAACCTATTTGGTGACATGCGCACCACATGCTCCAAACATAATCTGTGGAGGTCGACCACAATCCTCTAAAACTCAGTCAGACACTGATACAGACAACCGGGTGTCGTGACAGCGCCATAATGTCTCAAGATGGCAAGTGCCAACCGAGACTTCTATATGCGTGCCGACACTTCATCCGTGATGCGTCCGCCAGGTGGGATGTAGCTGTCCAGATAGCAAACTTTGTCTACTTGCTGTAGTGCAGCTCCAATTAGTTTGAGGTTGGGGGCTGAACCAACCCAGTCTTTGAGCGACATTTTACACTTTGAAAGCGTAAAACGCATAGCGAACATGGCTACACTGGCACTAAAACTATCCAGAAACGCTTGCAACTTACCTGGATCTTTGTTTAGCTGTACAATGTCTGCATACTCCAGATCCGCCAGTCTACTATCTGGGAGCAAGTCGATGCCACTATCCATAATCAAGTCCATGACGAAGTTAAGTAGAAAATGAGAGAGGGCATCCCTGATAAACACCTTTTTCCCTGGTGAACTCGGGCGAGAAATTTCTGTCAGCTCGGACTCGGCTATGAGTATAAAGAGATCGTAAATGAACTTCTCGGACACACCCTTCAGTTAAAGGCAGCACCTATCGTTCAAGACGACCTTTCTGACTGCGGATGAGCGTGCCGTCAAACTCATCCATTACCTCGCACCGGATTTCCCTGGGGCCGCAATCCTAATTGGACCAAAAAGGTTGCGATTATTAACGATGGCCGCAGCCCTTTCCACTTCTCTACATTTTCCTACCCACCTTGTCTCGCGGTCCGTCCCCAAACTCTTGTTGAGCTGGTGTTCAAAGGATTTGCACGCTGTGCCAAATTTGGCAACTAGAGGAATGGTCCTGCGGGTGTCCAGCAAAGTAGTCCACGTCGATGGTATCCATCGTTCTTACCTTGATTGCGCACCAGCATCCGCCGTTGTTTTAATCGACATTTGGATAGCTTCCTTTATTAGCATTCAGTGTTAATTGTGTCCTTCGGCGGTTGGTTGAGCTGCGAGGCGATCAGAGAGCTCCGCTTCGAAGGCCGATTTGCAAATATCGCTGACGTATTGTAGGCATCTGTTTCCGGTGACTAGGTGCAGGGCGAATCTGGTTTTTAACTGCGTGGTCCATGTCCACGAGTGAGGGTGACAGTCTTCGATGGATCTTCGCCAGCGGTAACTGGTGGCGATGTGGTCTTTGGGTCCATCATTTCAAGGAGGTTGAGGGTTCCCATGTAAGCTGGTGTCGCTTCTTGAGAGAGAAGTTAGTGCTCAATAGAAACAATCTCTGATCCGCTCGAAGTTGTCCGTCCGGTTTGCTGAATTTGCATGTGAACCACCAGGAAGCCTTTCTGCTTCGTCGAGGCATCCCATTTGAGCATTGAACTCTCCGGCGACTACCACGACGTCCGTTAACCGAACAGTTTGGTGTAATTGCGAAAGATCCTTGTAGATTTCATCATTGATTATAGATGTACTGCAGTCGATCGTTGCGTACGTCGATAAGACGAATAAACATCGACGCTTAGTTCTAACTGTTTACTTTTACTTTTGAGTGACTAACTCCTGCGGGAGGATCAATCGACTTCTTGGATGTCTCCCTCATGCGTGACAATCGGTGGCGATAGTGGCGCAGTACGAGACCCGGTCCTGTTTCTAGTTACGAATTCCATATACGGATTGGAGGCCCAGTAGTCACAGATCTGTCTTGATCATACAGCTCCAGGTCTTCAATTGACCATTGAGTCCGCAACGCCATGCACGGTGCGGTGCAGGGACTACAACCTGCCAAGAGAGTTGAGTGTAGAGCCTTCGGAGCACGTGGCCAAATCACTGATGGTACGAGTGTTATAGCATTTTCGAAAGCTTGTTGATGTTCGAGCAGCCTCGTCAAACCCTATCATTAGAAACCCGATCTCTCCAATTTACTTTCGGAATGCAGCGTAAGCTCCATTAATCAAAGGCTTCAAACTTCCTTGTTTCTTGTACTCTTAGCGACCAAGTTTCACAATTATAAGTGAGGATGCGGTGGGTGAAAGCCCGATAAACCCGAAGCTTAGTGTTAAAGCTTATTTCGCATCGGTTCCCCTAACGGTCTGAGGAGTTGCAGGAAGGCTGTTCTAGCTTCTTCCGTTCATTCGTTCGCACATTGATTGATTGATTGGTTAATTCATTCATTCATTTATGGGTGGTCGTGGCGCAATGGTTTAGTCGCTGGCACAGTCATGCTTTAGACCTGGTCCGAGGTTCGAGCCCCTCCACCGCCATCCAACTTTGGCAGTAAGCAGCTGTACTGCCGTCCGGCCCACTACCACACCTAACCTATCGGGGCCTTATGTGGTTCGCCACTCCAAGTCCCTGGGCTTGGGTTACTGGTTTCCATCACTGAACATCATCAGCATCATTGTACAGCGTAACACACCGAAGCGAACTTCACTGATCGCTGCCAAACTCATAATGCCTACAACGCAAGTAGGAATGTGTAAAGAGAATAGGGATTGGGCCTACTTTCAGGGCTGGGGAAGAACTGTGGCTACATACTATTGCAAACATTCTGGTCTGATAAGTGACAGCATCGTCACCAGCAGGTCCTCGTGACTATGGGGTTCTCCCCGTCAGCTGTTCATTACACAAACGTGTACTAAAAAAATCATTCACCCAATGAAGACTGCATTTACACTGTCAGCGAGATTTGTGGATATGCTGTTTCGAATAATGTTTTCATTGAATATTCTTCTCTGTTCTTTCAGCTGGCGTCGGTGCCCTCTTCGCAGATTTCCACTACAGGTAACAACGCTCATGTTCCGGCTCTGGAATTTACGGGGCTCGTGTGATTGAAGAATGATGACGCATTTGTTTTTTGCGTTTGCATTCCTCTGCTTCATTTGTATGTCATATTTCTTCCAATAGTTTTAATCTGATCACTCATTTAGGCGAAGTTTCGGCTGGGGATCCAATTACTTCCGTATCCATATGGCCATTGAGAGTTTTTCCTGTGGAGCTGGGCGAAACGGTTAAATGGAAAGTGACGCCCAAGCGGGGAGCGGAATATCATGCAAATGCAGTCATAAGCGTGGACGTTGGAAATCAACGGGCCTATCGGATACAAAAAACATCGTGTGTTGGACCGTTTGAAATGTATTTCAAATGCACGCATTTGCCACAGAATGAAATAGAAATCTCTTTCACACCAGTCGCAGATCATTATGGAATGGAAATTTTAATCACTTACTATCAAGACCTGGATTCACTGTGGTCAATGAAGGGTCTCGTTTTATTGAGAGATCGTGTTCAAGTATGTACCCAATTATTGTGGTATTTTGATCAAAAACATCCACTTTTAATCTGCCTGCACTTTAAGCGATTATTTTTTTCCAGAATATTTCTAAGGTCTGCCCACGGACTCTGGAAAGTTGAATCGATGCATGATAGATCTCTTACTGACACCAAAGAAGCTGTCGTTAAATATAAGCCATAATGCAACCATCCAGAAGTATTTGAAAACGACCCATTGAAGCGTGCGTATAAATATATTTTCACGGTTTCTTACCATAGTCCAAGGGTCGTTGAAAGGGTTTTTGTATGTGGTCGACTATTGACTATTATTAATGGTTTCGACGGCTTGTCGAAAAATATCAAGAAGGGTCGTCATGTATTCACGATAGAGACCATTATAGACGGGCTTTACAGGCTTTACAACCCGATTCTGTGAGCTCAGAAGCAATTTGTGAACCATGTAGCCGTCAAAGCCCTTTGTGTTCACCCACCATTTATCTTCGGACAAGTCACTCTTATGACATGTTCACAACGGCGATTTGTCTCTCTTTCCACTTCACCTTTTCACAACATTATTGTGTTGTATTTAGTCAGCTAACAAAAATCAAAAAAACCTCTCGTCACTACGCACAAATCGGAAGGTATCATGTCAGTTAGATGTTACCTGTTGCAATTTTTTGAACCGTTTTCTTAGTAAGTAATATTTTGGTGGCTAATTTTCCATGTTGGATGTGGGTGACGTTTGCTTGTCTACTTTGATACTTCGCACCAAACAGTCACCGTAAATGGATGCAATTATTCCAGCTTCACTTCATTCAGTCTAGTTCACTCGAAACACAGGTTAACGAACAAACAGGCGTTTGGCGCACTTCATTTTCATTTTACGTGATTCTTATTCGACACCTCCAGTTGGGTAGTCATGATGCAACTGAGTTGAATTATTTGTTCTAGGTTCTTCAATCACAACAGAATTTTTATTCATGCACCTTGGCACTCGAATAAAACAATAAATATTCATTTCAGTCACACTTGTGGAACAAAATACACTTTGGAACACTGACTGAGTTGTGATTTGTATTTTTGCGGTATATTCAGTTTCAAGGTTGCGATTTAGCTGTGCTGAGATGACCAATTGGGCTTATCGAAAAGCGGCGAACGCAGTCACTCACCGCTTTGTGCCCGAATCAGAATAGAGGTATACAATAGACTTGCAAACACGGGCTGCACTGTAGTGTATGGTCAATAGTAAATACCTACTCGATGGCCACGCGGGCAGTGTTGGCGTTGTGCTTAAAGAATCACGAGTTCAATCCTGGCTTCAGTTAAAATATACGAACTATTTATTTTTGCGACCCGATAAAGTTAGAGCAATTGTACATTTTTATTACACACAGCAGACGGGATGGACTCCATTGTGTCGAAGACCGGCAACATAAGCCTCGGGATCACATAAGGCCCTGTTTGGTTCGGTGTGATATTGAACCGAGCGACAGCAAAGCTGCCCACCACCAAAGTTGGGTGGCGATGGCGGGATTCGAACCTCGGACCATGAGGTCCAGAGAAAGCCGGTAGCTGCCACCAAACCTTTGCACCACCACCATCACCGGCTGCCTTTTGTCTTAAGACTTTGATATGCTTCACATTCCCTTTGAAGTTGAGAAAAGGATGTAAGATGGTTGTTGTAAAGACAATTATCTTGACCTTAATCGGTCTTAGTTTGGTCTATCCCTTGTTTCTTATGTTTGTTTTTTGAACTTCTCCCCGACTAAAACAATGCAATGAGAAGCCTTCCGGGAACCTTGAAAATTACGTCATGATTTGAACAGAATGCAGGTGGTACATGATCAACCAAATAACCAGATGTATCACTAACGGTGAAGATTAACTGTATTGACAGAACCAACTCTATTTTTTTCAGATGGAAAATTGTTCATATCTATTACCACATCAGAGAACAATATACGCATAGCAGAGTAACATTTAAAACATCCGTTGTACTTGTTCCTTGTTTTATATCAGGACTGTTGCACATTAAGCTGGAACCACTTAGCTCACATTCTGCATCTGATGGGATCGTGCAGGATTTCGAAAACTTCTTTTTAACTAGGGCTCGTGTAATGCCTGATACAAAACATTCACCCGAAGGTTGTGATGTCTGCTCGAAAGTGCTG